AAAAAAAAAAAAAAAAAAAAAAAAAAAAAAAAAAACGAACCTTCAGTACTATTTTCTGGCCCAACGCTTAGCTCAAACTCTTTTTTCTTCTTCGAACGCATTTGGATCTTTTTTGCACTGGCCCGGAAGAGCGAAGTATTATCAATAATCATTTTTGAAGATCTTAATAAACGCTTTGAAAATTAACCCTGTGTGAACTGCATTACACACTGTAAGTCGTTTCAAAGTGATGTGAGAGATATCCAGAATAAGTCTCAACCGTCCTCAAAAAGAACACCCATCCTACTTACTAAACCATTAAAACAACCCCACCAGTTTTTCACAAACTACAGCAAACAGCGAAGCACCCTTTTCAGTACTACTAATTCTAAAATAGAATACGGCAACACCCCAAAAAACTGCTGACTGCAAATGACCTCCTGAAGTGATCAACCACGTGAATGAATTATAAATAGCACTTTCCAGTGTGGTTTCTTTTCACAGAAAGAAAGAAAGAAAAGATGGTCACTGCACGCAAGATGAAGCAACTAGAAACTCTAAGATATTTTTATTCCACAAATCATCTACAGAGTGCTGTTTGCTGGAAGACACACCCTGATACTTCTCTTTCCAAAAGCTCTCTCGCAATTTCTACATATTCGCAATCGCTCTTCAAAGAACACCATCATAGCTGTAATCAACAACAAAAGATTAATCACTTAATCACACAATCCGCATCGATTACAATCATCATCACAACATTCAGTAAATTACTTACAACTGGGGAGATAAACATGGTACTACCAGTTTAAACTGAAGGGTTGCACGGAATCTAATAACGACGATTAATAAAATGAGAAATGCCGCGATATGCCAACTCACGAGTAATCTCTAGCTTCAAAAAATTACCTAACTATAGAAATGCACGTAACGAAACGTCTTTGATGGACTCCTTGTTCTAAAACGCTCCGTCGGAAGAAATTATCCGTTACCAAATAAGTTCACTAATCTCCTATTAACAATACAGAAAACTTCTGCACACCAGTATTATTTGCCAAGCAAAGAGTATTTGAGGTTGTTGCATTGCTGCCACATTTGATCACCTAAATACTCTGAGAAATTAAAAATAAATGTGACTTAATAAAGTCTGCAAATCTTCACTGAAGTGTCGTTCATCTTAGTTAATCAGCTTACGAACCATTTATTTTAACGGTATTCCAATTCGTTGAAACCGTTTCTAAATTGGAAACAGAATAAGTACTAATGCTGATTTTTATCAAGACTCAGTACACTAGCAATACCAGAAAACTTTTAAACAATTTTACTTTTCTGTTCAACATCAAGAAACATGAAACTTGGCGAAACAACCTGGAGTTAACTGAAATAACTAAAGAGAACCAGATAAATCACTACACCGTTCCTGTAGAAATAAATTACAAACCCTTTTTCTTGAAAAAAAAACAATAATGGAAGAGAAACTTTACGCTCAAAAGGACTACTAATTCCAACTTGAGAGAAAAGGAAATCAAAAAGATGAATAACGTTGAAAAATTACATGTAGTGAACTCCAACCAAAAGAAATTCGACGAGGAAAACCTCAAGCAATCGCATTGGTGGGTAAGATGAAGGATGTAAGTGTCGACACAAAAAACAAAACAGAAAAGAAACAGTTGCTAAGCAATCCTTTTAATCTACAGTTTGTTCCCTAACCCCCTAAGCCAAATTTTTCGCATTCGACGAAACCACCCTTGACTCAATAAAATACTTATTAGAATAGAGCACTTTTTTACCGTCTGACTTCTCTGAACGTATAATTTCCCCAAAGTCGCAAGAACTGGTAAACCAATAGCAAAAATAATAAATTACGTATACTTTATCACTAAGCTGAAAAAAAAAGTGACTAAAGATCCCAAACTTAAAAACTACTATTTAACCTAAACAACGAAGGTTTGAATGGTGTTTTAAATGTGAGAAATCATTTCAACTTGCGAAGCACAAAACTCTCAACAAACCGAGCGATATAGCAACTTAAAAGGATGACTTATGCAAAAAACCTCTTTCAAGGAGGGAAAATTCAATTCTTGGCCCAAATCACGATGATTATGATGAGAATAACTACGATCCCCGAAAGCATGATCATCATCTTGATATTCTTCCACCAATACTTGCGTTTCAGTGTAGCCGCCGACTTTTCAAATTGGGAAGCACCCTCCTAAACGTAAGTTATAAGAGAAGTTTTGGAAAAAACAGTATCCAACAGCGACACAGAAACTCCACATTATACGAAAATAAATGAAGTCAAAAATGCAGCATATAATAATGATGTAAAGTTTCCAACCTGCAATGCATCTGCACGATCGTCCAACTGAGACAACTTTTGATCACGCTCCAAAACTTTTTCTACATTTACCTAAAAAAGCAGCCTACCAGTTTGAATAACTGTGTCCAACGAAACATGCGCAGCGAACCAATAAAGGAGAAAAATTTAGTATTAAAATCACAAGAAAAAAAATTTTTTTAAAACTTTTTTAATATTCACAAACTTGGCAGTTTTTTCGAAACACATAACTCTCATAAGTTTATTATCTAGTCTAAAAAAAAACTAAAAAACAGAAACTAAAAAGCTTACTAGAGAAACCCCACAAAAACGCGAATAACGTCACAGACTTCATTTTAATCTCCGCTCACTTTACTGAAGTAGCACAAAAGCCCCCTCGAAAAAAAAAAATAGAACTAAAAATAAAGAAAATAAAAAAGTAAAAAACTCAGCCACCAGACCAGAAATTTATTGCTGACCTTCATTATTCCAACAACTTCATCTACTTGAGCTTGCGTTTGCTGCAGTCGCTTGTTTGATGGACGAGGGCCTTGACTACCACCAGGAGCTGCTCCTCCACTTTCAACAGTGCCAGTATCCATTCTTTCGTCCACACTACATAGAAATATCAAAGTGGTTCACGTTCAAAATCAAAAGAGACAGAACTATAAACGGTTAATCAATCGTTGTCAAAAAAGCTAACAAAAATACTTTTTCCAATAACAAGTAGCAGCAAAGTTACATGAGAAACCAAGAAGCCTTGGGTTGCCTTGCAGAAAACTCCCAAACAAGTTTTTCACAAAAATAAGCTTAAATCATTCGGAAAAAACTTTCCCCCATTAAATTCTACAGCAGCACTTGGTTTGTCTAACATGGAGAAAACAAGAATCAAAAATACCCAAATTAACGTGAGTCATAACCTTCAGTTTTTCGCTTGCAAAAATTATCATACATTGAACTCCGATCAAAACAAAGCTGCAAATCAATAGAAAAAATTTCATCACCGAATTCTCAACCATTTCCCTAGCAAACAATATTTCCTTGGTACCTCAGTATTTTTTGCCAATAGCAACTTCAGCCAACGCGTTTTGCAAAAAAAT